ACACACCCTCCCCTGCACATCTGGATCCCCAGTTTCTCTATTTTCCATTTTCTTGTTTTCTAATAATAAAATTCCCCGATGCCTCTAAGTCATCATGTGCCCCCCTCCCCCCTTCCCACATTCACTGGTTTGTTATACTGGGGAGTTGTAGTCATTGCCGGCTACTGGGGGGACTCCAAAGTTCACAAGATGGATAAAACTAAAGTCTCTTGTTCTGCACTCCTGATAGGGGGGGGTCCGGAGACGAGCATGTGAGGGAGACGAGATCATCAGAACTCCATAAAGTTAGATGTAAATTTCCTGGAGAATTTTCCCCTTTATTGGCCATCCCGAACCTTCAAAATTTTGCTTCAAGGGGACACTGAAGCTTCGAGATGACCATGAGATGAGCAGCTGACCTCTTTAACCCTGAGAAGCAGGATGCACTGCATAGCTCAAGGAGCTAGCAATCTTCAGGGTGCACTTTGTAGCCCACAGGGCTAGCAATCTGCAGGATGCACTTTGTAGCCCACAGGGCTAGCAATCTGCAGGATGCACTTTGTAGCCCACAGAGCTAGCAATCTGCAGGATGCACTTTGTAGCCCACAGAGCTAGCAATCTGCAGGATGCACTTTGTAGCCCACAGAGCTAGCAATCTGCAGGATGCACTTTGTAGCCCACAGAGCTAGCAATCTGCAGGATGCACTTTGTAGCCCACAGGGCTAGCAATCTGCAGGATGCACTTTGTAGCCCACAGGGCTAGCAATCTGCAGGATGCACTTTGTAGCCCACAGAGCTAGCAATCTGCAGGATGCACTTTGTAGCCCACAGAGCTAGCAATCTGCAGGACGCACTTTGTAGCCCACAGGGCCAGCAATCTGTAGGAAGCACTTTAGGTCTTTGTTTCATATACCTTTATAGTGCTGGTACATTCAGACTATGATTCCAGTACTGAGCTGCAATGCTAAGGCCAGGCAAGGAGCAATGATCAGCTGCAAAGTGCAGTAGGTGACATTAACCTATCAAAGGCCTTGTTCCTGATCTAACGACAGCAAACTAAACATTGATTGGCTACTAGAAATCACTGCTCTGTACATGGGATCATTTTTACCGTCTAGCTGAAGAAGCCAAACTGAGAGTTATTTATAGTGCAACTAAAGCCAAATCTTTTTTTTTCTCCTTAGTTTTGGATAGAGTGGAGAGGGACTAGAACACCCATCGGGTTTTTATTGCTGCCTGTGTCACCCTCTCTGCTTGCCCTGCTGACTGTTATAACTAAGAATGAAAGTGAAAGAAAATCCACAATTTTGGGTTGTCATCAGAACAGTAATAGATGAGAGATCTTCCAATGGGGACACCAGTTCTTGTGACCAACAAGGATTTATCTCACTTAGGAGGGCTTTCCTTTCACTTCCTGTTGTGCCTATCGGACAGGAAGTGAAGGGAAATCTTTAAAATGGGACACAGATGGCATAAAACAAGACAGAGGTTTAACCCTCCCTTACACTTATCCAAAACTTAAAAAAAAGAGAGAGAGAGAGAGAAAAAAAATGCATTTAGTGAACAGAACAACCAGATGCCTCAGATAATTCTGGGGTCATCAAACAGGTGCAGTGAAGTCCTGGCCTTGCATGTGGACTACAGGATGAGAGTGAATGCAAAATTTTCATTTGATGGCCAATTTGTATCTACTTTTTCCAATAATACCTTTGACTATAAAAGTGAACATATTGTTTGTGTTGCAATAAATGATTGATTCAGACCAGGGACATGCAGTGAGGTCCTCGGCAGGTGAGGCACTCCCTGGGCCCGCCCCAGGCCCGGTCACTGAGCTAAGTGTGGAGGAGTGAGGGAGGAGACAGAGAGGAAGCTCCCTGTCCCTCACTTGCTCGTCACTGGTGAGGCATCGAGATTTATCTTTTTTTAGATTGGATGGCTTGGACCAATGGTGCTTTGCCATTGGCCCAAGCCATCCACAGAGCTCAAGCCCCTGACTCCAAGTTGGAGGCTGTTATATCTCTGGCCTCACTGTGTTAGGTTACACACAGCAGCGGTGAAGCCCACCCTGAGGATGCTAATAACTTTGTTTGAGATTTCATTTCAGTGCACATAAAGTGACAAAGGCACTAGAATTCTGTCAAGAACGGGTATTTTTCTGTACATGCAGGAAATGTACTTAGCCTGAAAAAAGAAAACGAATGCAGCCACCACATCCAGGAACTGGTAAGCTGCAATATGTGACATGTTTGTTCTTTGGTTCAGATATCCTTTAAGGCAATATAGATACAAGAGATGTCTACCCAAGAGCAAGGGGTGTTCCTACATGGGTTATGGTCAAATAGAGAGTCTCACTGCACTCCTGACCAAGAAGCCCCATATATTGTGTGTGTGTGGGGGGGGATGCTGAAGTAGCCGCGGATGGCGCCGCCAAATACTTGCAAAACAGAATAAATGGTCAACAGCACTCCAAGTTTTCTTCCAAACTAAATCCTTTTATTCATTCTAGCAGGTCATATCACCATGCGTGCAGGGCCGGATTTCCCAAAAGGCCAACCAAGGCCGGCTTTGGGGCAGCAGGTAGTAGAGGGGCAGCAGGGGTGTGGAATTCCTATCTCCCGATGCCTGGGACATGCAGTTCTGGGCACCAGGCGGGCAGTTGTTTTCTACATTTAGCCCTGCTTTGGGCAAGCAGAGATAAATGTACAGCGGGGAAGCTGTCACTTGTTTTGTACAAGTGATCACTTGTATGCTGCCTGCAGGACTGCCATTCTCCAGAGGAAGGGGTTGGTGGGTAGGGGGGCACATTGGAGAACCTGGCCTTGGGGCAGCAGAGAGAGTAAATCCGGCCCTGCGTGCGTGGCAATGTTTCGGAACCTGTCCGGTCCCTTCATCACTTCTGTTTGCCTGATGAAGGGACAGGTTCTGAAACGTTGCCACGCATGGTGATATGACCTGCGTGACAAACGTTACATGGGTTATAGGTACAAGAGTGATGATACCTTTCTTCCAGTTT